AGCAAAGGAATTGAAAATAATACTGCCAATATACAAATCTATGGTACAATTGCATTTATAGAACTGTATAGTTCTGGTCCAAAAGGAGAAGGGGACGGCAGAGGATGAGGTGGCTAGATGGAGTCACTGGGGCAGTGGGTGTGGGCATGGGTGGACTCTGAGGGATGGTGGGAGACAGGAGAGCCTGGAGGGATGTTGTCCATGGTATTATGATGGGCCAGGCATGACTTTGCGACTAAACAACAATAGTTCTGGTCACCACACCTCTAAGAGGGTATGCTAGAGCAGAAAAGATTATGGGCAACCATAATCAAGTGCCTGGATCAGCTCCCATAGGAAGAATTGTAACAACATTGGGGACTTTTAACTTTGAAAAAAAGGCAAGTAATTGAATAGAAGAAGTGACTAAGGAAATGCCCCCCTCTTCATAATACTGGAACCTGGATCCATCCAATGATGTTAAATGGTAGGAGATTTAGACAAAAGGAAGTACTTCTTCACACAGCACCTAGCTAAATTGAATACAAGTGGAAGGATGCTGAGGCATTCATGTCTTACTTGTGACTTCCCATAAGCATCTGGTTGAACACTGGGCATAGAATGCTGTACTAGATGGTTCTTTGACCTGATCTAGCATGGTTATAGCCATGTTCTACTTGTTTCCAGAAATTTAAGTATTTCCTCACTAAGTCCAGGTTCACAGACTTGAAAACTGCTTGGTTTTTACTGTCTATAGGTGGAGAATAGAAAAACATAATGCCGATAATGAACTGTCAGAGAAGAATTGGGCAAAATGCTCAGAAAAGGACAGCCAATGCTAAGTAACCATAAAACAATGCATCTAAAAAGCCAAGAAGCAGCAGAGTGCAGAAAATAAGTGACCATTGTAGGAAATGGGTATAATAGCAATAGGTCTAGATTTTGGGCTCTTTGGAGTGCCTATCTTCTACCACTGTGGCAAATCTTACAGAACCTTCTCTTATTTTTATGCAATTAACTAAGGTCAATATTGTTGCAGCTGTTTTTTCATCCCCAAAAGAGATACCTCACAAAATTAACCCACATGCTTTGTTATGCATTTAGCAGGATCATATAAGGATAGTCATTATGACTTCTATTGTGAGCAACAGTAGACACTTAACAGGAACTTCTGATAGCTATATCCACAATAACCCTTTATAGTTCCTTGAACCAAAGATAGAAAATTTAATAAATTATTGTACTTGGCTTGCAATCCTATATACTGTTTTCTGAGAATATGTCTCATAATTTCCCATTGAAATAACAGATACTTTTGCAATGCACTATTTTAACCTAACCTTAAGCCCAGCAATATCTGTTACTAAATTGGACATGAATACACAAATTAAACTATTTGCAATAGTTGTACAGTGTCCAATGATATGCTTTTGACACCTGCAGATGAATGACATCTAATCTGCATCAATAATATTAGGTAATACAGCAAAGTTACAAAACATCCGGTTGGTTCAGTCTAGAGCTTTTGTGATCTTACACAAAAGAAGTTAAAAATATTAGAGGCTGTTGATGATGTGCCAGACTTGGGTGGCTATATTTACTGGCCTGCAATTTACAAAAGCTGCTTCTCTGCAAGGGTTTTTTGTTTTTGTTTTGCTTTTTTTTAAGGAAAAATATTGTGAATCTATCAACATCAACTCTGTTAAGGAAACAAATTATTTGAGTTATCCTATCAACACTGAGAATGTTTTCATGACAAGAAAATAAATTATCAAGACTCAAGTTACCATTTAAATAAGTGGTTTGAACCTCAGGGTTCATGATAAAGCTATAAAACTATATTTAAGAAAGAAAACAAAGTAAGCATTCAGATGTTGAAGTAATGGGAATTGAAGCTACATTTTCAATTCATGATTCAATAGGTCAATGACACATCAGAAATGTTGCTCATATTTGGTTCGCCCCATCTGCACTCTGCACCTGGGCAGTTGAAGGCACTGTACTTATACAGTCTGAACTGTTAGTCCATCTGGTTTCTGTACTGTATTGTACTGTTCTTCCTCAGACTGATACAGTCTGGCATGGGATAGTTCTTCACACAATAGCACTAGCAGAATCACAGCTACATGATTTAGATGAATGTACATCATGGGTTAGTAAACAGGCCCTTGTGGGGGCCAAAGACAGCCCTCTGGTTTCCTTCAAATGACCATGTTGCCTCCCCAGCCCAACCTCTTTCCTCTAGCCATTGATCTTTTGGTGATTTCCTAGTTTTTGTGCAGTATTTTCTCCATGCTAAAATGACTCTGCTAAGGCTCAATGACTGGTAGTAAGAGCTTTAAGTTATAATATGCTGGGGGGCAGGGTATATTTTGGGCCCCATCCTTTTTGCTTCTGCCCCCAGTCCCTTTGTCTTTTGTCCCACCCACACTGGAATTCAGCCCAAGAGTCTCTCCAAAATTGAATTCAGCCTTCAGCCTGAAAAAGCTTCCCTACCTCTGATTAAGAAGAACAGTAGGCCAATTCAAGCATCTGTCAGGATTATCATAAATGAGAGCTAACAGGCTGGAAATGGAAAGACCTGGATTCAAATCCTAATGCAACCATGAAGTTTATCCAATGTGCATTATATCATTATCTATCAGCCTAAGCTACTTCACAGGATTCTGATAAAGTTGGAAGACAACCATGAACATTATCCTGAGCTCATTCAAGAAAAAGGAGACAGAATAATAAGCAAACAGAACTGAAGTCCAACATACATTCAGTAAGGCATCATGCATTACATGATGCACTTCCTTGTAATCTTACCACAGACTATCAATGTTAATGAACACCAGAGTACAAGAAACAGAATTGCAATCTAAACCCATCTTTAGAAATATTCGAGCTAGAGGTTTCTTTTCACCCCCAGTTCTGGTGACTCAAACTGGGTATTTACATGTCTAATAATCACCAGCCACAGTCTTAACATTCCTTGCTTAGGCACTTGGCAAGAGGCCTCATTTTTCATATTCTTAGTATCCAGCAGTTCTTGAGTAAGAGTTTTACCATGTTAAATACTTCAGAGAAATCTGACCATTAATTTGTAAAGCTAAATATGGACTTTGGAACCTAGCTTTAAACATTTAATGTTGACAATTTAGACCTAAATCCACCAGTCACAGACTTCTCTGTTAAATCTTGGTAGCTGCAATTTTATTGATCACTGAAGATTGATGGATCTCCACACTAGTTTTTTGATTAACTCATTCCTCAAGGTACTTAATTAGTCAAAGAAACACATTGTGCAAAGTACTGTTTACACAGAGCTGTTGAAGCCTTCTCAATCAATTAGACATACCTTCTGGGTTGTATTCTCAGACGGCTAAGCCAGTACCACTCTTTTTCTTTTTCCTTTTTCAGCCTGAGGGCCAGGAATCTATTTTCTGGTCACCCCTCTGAAACCACAGGAGATCTTGTAAATACCATGACCCTTCACACTGGGACCTGATATATCATGTGCGGACTGTTCTGAGGATCTGGAGAGGAATTTCTTCAGCACAGAGGGATGCTTGACCAGTAACGTGACCTCCTGTAAAGACAATAAGAAGCAGCTCTCTTTTACAGACTGAAAAGCCTTCTCCCTTTCAAAGGCATTTGAAGGTGCAGTCTTGTTCTCCTTAAGTACTACAGATTGATGCTCTTAACTGTACATTATTGATTATACCAAAACACCCCCATGCTGTTCACTTTGTCTTACTTAATGAGCAGACACACCAAGGAGAGTTAGGAGAACTTTCCATCCAAAGATGTCTCCTGAATATCCTAGGTGATTGCACTAAATACAGATCTGAATCTTTTTACTGCATTTATTTTATGTGGAATTGTGCCCACAGTGGAATTAAGAGGCTAAAAGGTCAGTATATAGTACCAGCTTTTGGAACATGAAAGTCTGAATTAGCTGAAAACTCATAATAGCATGATAACACTGCTGTGGTTTTCCTTTTCCAAGAAGCTAACAAGCATCACTGCCATTACTCAAGCTGCTCTATTGGCCATATAGGGTTGCACAATTTAATAGGAAAGTTCATAATTCAGTCCATACCTGTGACCCTATCGTGTCCTATTCTGCTTAGGCTACTATGCATGGCTACACTGGAACAGCAACAATAGCAGACCAGTCCCTACTGACATAACCAGTGTGCCTCACTTCTGCAGCTTAATACTGGCAGAATCCACCTGCCACCAAGAAACTTGGTGAATATTAAAAGTCTCAGAGCAGATCTAGTCTTCACTAAGCTACTTGAACAAATAACGTGCAATGTTGTACCCTCCTTAGGATAAATTTTAAATTTAAAAATTTTAAATGTGGGGAGGGGAAGCAGCTATTGCCTAAATGTCTGTGTGTAAGATTGTGCATCAGTGTTAGCAAATATCTTTTCTCAAATGCTGATAAAACATAATGTGGGCATTAGTGACAATATTCAACATTTTTTTCATTATTTGTGATGGTTTTAAGAGTAAATATAGTCATTTTCAAAATCCTGAGCAAAAATACTATATATGTTTTGATGTGTGGACACACATTGATATGTACATTTCCTTAACTCTCAGACAAACTTGTGTTCCCCTTGAATTTATCCAATGCATCCAGAAAATTTATACAATTTTCCCTGTTCCTAAACCCCAAACATTAACTTGGCATATGTTCAATATTCTTTGTAAGCACTGTCTGGCACTGGATAGAACTCATAATGGATAAAACAGCTGAATGTAAAGCAAAACCAGATTAACAAATCATGCTTTAAGTACTGAAGCTCAAGAACTTCCTAATTTCTGTTAAATGTCTCTTCTTTCCATTACTATGTGAAAGAATTCAGTAATGCAGAGCTTCAACCAAAGGTGCATCATAAAGGCTTAGATGCAGCAGTCCTGCTCACACTGTGATACATTGGGAAAGTTATATACAAAAGACTTACTTTTAAAAAGTGCCCAGAACTACATTGCTTAAAAAAATCATCTAGCCCTTTCAGCACATACCTTTTCCTAACTAAACAGTGTAAGATTTGCTACTTGTGTCTCCGTGTATCCATTCAGTTTGCTTGCTTTTAACCTTAAGATATTCAAATTTCTCATACTGCTTCCTACAAGTAAAGTACCAACAGCACTAAATATTTCTATAGGAAAGGACTGAGGAAAGGTCCAGGTTTGCCCTATGTTAAAGTTCTTGAAATGAACTGTTAAATCTATGCCTCTCTGAATCAAAGCAAGCAAATATATGCTACTGTGCAAGCAGGAAAATTACAAAAGGGAATATTTTCTGCATCTATTTTAATAAAAGTGAATAGATCCACCAGTAACAGAAGATGATGAGAACAGAGGAAACTAACTTATTCTGATCAAGAGCAGTGATCCAGATCATAGAATCACAGAACAGTAGAGTTGGAAGAGCCCAAGAAAACCATTGGGTCCAGCCCACTGCTTAGTGCAGGACACCAAGTCAAACCATCCTTCTCAGATGGCTGACCAGTGGCACTTTGATTGCCTCTAATGTGGGAGAGCCCACAACATCCCTAGGAAATTGGTTGCATTGCCATACTGCTCTAACAGTCAGAAAAATTGTCTCCTGATGTTCAGCTAGAATTTGACTTCCTGTAACTTAAGCTCTTTATTCCCTGTCCTGCACTCTGGGATGACGGAGAAGAAACCCTGGCCTTCCTCTGTGTGACAGCCTTTCAGGTACTCATACTTGTAAAGTGCTATCTCTTCTCCCCTCAGTCTTCTCTTTTTGAGGCTAAACATGCCCAGTTCTTTCAATCTCTCTTCACATGCTTTTGTTTCTAGTCTGCAAATCATCATCATTTCATTATAATTTTGAAATTCAATTGCTGCCCAACCCATGGCAGCTAGGATAGCAGTTACCTATGTAGTCTAGTCTATCTAGTCTAGCCTATCCCAGAGTACCTATCCTTTCTTCCATCAAACAAATATGGTGTGTAGTGACCTGACACCCACAGGAAGCCCATGTATTGGTTCAAGCCTGTTGCAGCGACACCAAAACTGTTTACCGGCACACCACCAAGAGTAAAACAAACCTAGTCTCTTCAGCCCCCAACTTCTTATAGTTCCCTGAGAACAGCTGGCCAAAGATCCAACTGGAGCATCTAGCATTGGGCACCAGTACATCCTCTTTGTGTCCTTTTCAGAGCAAACTAGGTTATGGGGTTTTCTCAGCCTGTGGTGTGCATCCAGGTTGCTAAATAACATAGTCCACACCCTCGTGAACAACTTCCTTTCACTCCCAAAGCAAAGAGAAGATGTGAGAAAGGTAAGAGGGCTCCACAAATATGGAGACCATTAGCTAAGGAACCAAGGGATTGGTACTAGAGAAAACAGACAGACAGCAGCATAGTGGTGAGAAGGAAGTGATCACATTCAAGGAAGTGGACGAAGGCATCCTGTGCAGTAGTTACACGAAATCTAAAGTGAGCACTGAAGGAAGGCAATGGGTGACTGAATTTGTCTGAATTAACTGGCAACTTCTTTGGCTAAGCCTGTCCATTGTAAATAACAAAGATTTTAAAGACAGATGCTTAATAACTCTCATATTTAGTACCTCTTGTTCACAGAGGCACAAATTACAGACCAAATTAAAAAATAAAGGTCTATGGCACAATGGTATTCGTCTGCTAGATGCTAATGTGAATGGCAGTTCATTTTACAAGACTGTGACATTCCTTTCACTGGGGGCTAATGCTAGTGAGGTTCCCAATAATTGTGCCCCAGATTTCCTGCTTCTCAGCTAGTATCTTCTTTCAGTCTACACAAAAAGACAAGTGAGTTTTCAGATAGGAATTCTTGAGCAGCCAGAGACCTGCACCTTTCATGAATTAATCCTGGGCTCTTAAGATGCATGGTTCTGTTTAATGTGGAACATCTGACAGTAGGGTCTGCATATCTCTTTGTTCACATGTCAAGTATTAAAAGGAAGTGCTGTGTAATCAGTTTAATCAGGTTGGAGGGGGAAGGAAATCAGTACACCCATTTACAAACAAAATCCCAGACTCTGTGGGTACAGTCCCATGAAGCAAGTTTGGATATCCTATAAATCTATTTAGTTTATATTGAATGGCTTAATCCTGTTTGGCTGACTATACAGGGCAATGAAAGAATAGGCATGGCTTTACACCAAATCCCAAAACCTGTTCTTTGCAAATTGTGTTTTTTTCCCCTTAAACTTCAAAAGGCAATTGCAGATGGTTAGGTAATAGCTAAGTTATGTTGCTATATGTTGCTATTAATTATGCCTCTGCAAAGTTGATGTCTAACCGTGAAAGTTGAAAAAAATGCTGCATTCAGTTACACATACAGCAATCCCCTTGAAATCAATAGGATGCATGCTCAGATAACTGTATGCAAAATTGCAGCTGTAACTTTATAACAAACCATGTTTTCAGGTTAATAATATTATATCTTACTCATGGGATAATACTTCATATATTAATCCTGTTTCTTCCTTTTCTTTAAGTTCAGCCACAATTCAAAGAAATATAATACACAAATAGGAACATCTAATTGGACAAACATCTCCCAAACCATTGTTAGTTATACCACTGTGTTCATATATAAACTATCAGTAAGAATAAGCGTTTATGGTTCTCATTATTTATTTATTTATTTATACGTACATACATACATGTATTTATAGGCCACCTGTAACTGCAGAGACCTTCCTAGGCATTCTGTATAGCTATAATTTCTATTCGTGCATATAAATTTATGTGTCTTATGTTTTTATATTTAGATATCCCACCTTGCAAACAAAAACTTTCCTAAAGAAGCTAGGAAATGAAGTATGTATAACTGACTGGGGATGCTGGGATTGAATTGGAGAGACATTCACTAACCCATAAGGCTCACCTGGGCTAGTCACTCTCTCACAGTGTTGTGAGGAAAAATGAAGGCAATGACATCCTTGTACGCTGCCCCAAGATTTCAAGGGAAGGTAGAATTGAAATGTCAAAAATAACTAAACTTCTGAAAATATGGCCAATTCCACTTTGTAGGAATGAGCAATGAAATTAAGGACATGATTATCCCTAGATTTGTTTGGGTGCTACACCTGAACATGAATGATCAACAGTGAAGCCACACATCTGAGCTTCATCCCCAGAATCCTTGCCTCTACTTCTCCTGGCATCCCCCACCTTATCCATACCACTTGAGCGCAAGTGGAACCCAACTGGGAACCCTACATTATCAGAGCTCCCAACTGTGCAAACGTTTCTACCTGTATTCAAATAAATATTAGCAGAAGCACCCTTCAGACCTTCCTGCTTAACATGGGGAAGGTCAGAAACACTGTAGATAGGACTACCATACATTGGGATATAGGTGGTAGTGTCAGCACTCATGGCCCATGCTTCCTATATGGGCAGTTATTTCCTGTTCAGGCATAATGCCTGAACTCAGGCTAGTATGTGATTATTCCTTAGCAGTACCTTTATTTCTCATCAACCCACACTAATTATATTATAGAACAGAGTTATGTTCTGTATATGCATGCCAAAGGAACAAACCTGCCAATGTTGA